AGTCGCATAGCAGCGATACCTTTTCTTCCCTTTCAGAGATGTTTCTCCACCCAGACCCAACTCGCTCACGCAGCCATTTTGGTCTCTCTCCGCGCCTGCGGTACCGCCAATCCACCCGGGTAGCTTATCGAGATCCTTGACCTCGTCTGGGCTATGTGCTAGCCGTAGTCGAAACATCATCGCAAACGAGTCGAGCTGGTTCGTCCATCGTGGTGTCCACGCGACGTACAGCGACAGCCACAGTATGCAAACTAGATAGATACCTAGCAAGAGGGATATGAGTACAACGCCGGCGCGACGCTCATGTCCCAATTCAGTGACCCACTCGTGTCCCCTTTACTGGACTCCGTGACAGATTGTTGCATCCACACGTCGACAGCTATGAAGGCGGCCGCGGTGAAAGCATCTTGTATGCGCCCTGCCGAAGCGAAGTGACCTCGCCGATGTAATAGGTCCGCTCTTCGGCAGCGAAAAGCCAGATGTAGTCAGCTACCAGTTTCGGTTGCCCCCAGTTATCGGCGTCGGTGCCCGCGACGCACGGATCTATATCCAATGAGACGCGCTTGTCGTCTTCTCCATGGAGCAATTTGATCAAGGGCAGGACATCAATACAGCCACCCCACTGATTTGGCGACCCATGTTTATATGCCTCAGCGACTGTATGGTGTATATCCAAGTAGGATCCCGCGGTGAATAGGGCCAGAGTTGTGCTCAGAAGAGGGCCCTTGCTCACCACTGATGACAGCGAAGCGGTAAGATTTGAGAGAGCTACCTCAGTATCGTTCTTCAGTGGCTCGACGAAAAACCGCTTTTTATTATAAGCAGGATAGGCTTGATACAGGCACTGTGCGTCACAATCCTCCTCTGGGTCATATCGAGATCGTCGAGAAGTGGACCGGGTAGCTGGCCATTATGGTAATTTAGAAGCTCAAAGTAGGCTGCCGTGGTATTAAGCGTACTCTTGAAAGAGTAGTTGCCTGGAACGAAGGATATCTGGTACCCCAGTTCAGCATCCCGCTTCCAATCCAAAGTCATTTTGACATGTAACTCCTCGCTAAAATCCTGTCGTTTACGAGTAGCCTTCCATGGAGATTGGTCTGATTTCCTGGCATGTAGACGTCAATGATGTAGCCACCAATGTCTGTCAAGTTCTCGTAACGGATGTATAGCGCGCCTGGCTTATCTTTGCAGTCACTGGGAGAATCATCCACTGATATTTTCTCATACTTGATCGTGAAGTTGACCCGAGGAGCAAACTACTGCCATACGCCCGTTTGAAAGCCGACCGGTCGCTGGGCCCAGAAGGGATCACTGATATTGGGCATGCTTCCGGATGTAGACTGCCCGGACTCGTCGCAGGCCCGGCTCGACTCATCGCTTGAGCTTTTGCACCCTGTCCCCCTGGACCAAAGCTTGAACTGGGGGTCTGTATTACCAGTTGACATAAGTCTGGATCTAAGCTGTGTCGTGGGTATTGCTCTGTCGTTATCATGGACTGGGTCTGCAGCAAAGCTAATCTATTTTCGTAGGTCAACCAAGTCCATGGAACTCATTTCGGTGGGAACTTTAATGGACTTATATGATACGAACATCCCTTGAAGCGGGGTGATAGAGGCGCCTTTGTTGCGTCAGCAGGCGACAAAGGATCCAGTATAAGAGTGTTGCTCACCAATGAGATTTAGTGCTATAGCGAAGACGAGAAAGAGCGAGCCATATCGCTTCCACCCTCCACCTATGAGCTTGAAATAAGCGGACCATCCCGGCCTTTATCAGCCAGTGCCATGGTCTGTCTTAATGTCAGGCTCCGCCAGCTTTGCTTGGAGCGCTGCTGGAGGAAGGCCACTGCTGCGCACGAGCAGACCATCGAAGTCAACGGGATGGTAAGCACCGAAGCTAGACTGACAGACTCGAGCAGCCCGAAGAAGACGCTCATTCTGGCCGAAATCGCTCTCTGCGCCTTCCATATAATCCTCTAAGCCAGCCTCCGAGGGTTGGGCTTGTAGCTTCGAGCCCCGATAGGTCGACTGATCAATGTACAAAGGACCGTCCAGGCAAAAAGTGCAATTGCTGCATAGACCAAGGTTAGCCACAATATGCGGCGCACGGCGGATATTGTGAAGGAGGGTGTTGGAGGGGACTCGGTTCATTTTGGCCCTCTCTTTACTGGAAAGTCCCTCCTCATTCCCCATTAAGGACTTAGAGTAGGGACAATCATCTCTCAGATCCGATGCTTCTGGCACGGCTCAATTTTCGGTTCGATTCAACGATATGGAAGACCTAGAAATAGCTGGAGCGATAAAGTCTTCTTATTGGGGTCGATTCACGAGGCTGAATTGCGGGGCCCCAAACTTGGCAGGATCGTCGTCTGCTTCGCCTTGTTTGGGGGCTAAGCAATCGGATTGGGATACGCCGGCTGGGCCCCTAGCGGATCGCCTCAGCGCGTACGGAGTAGATAGTCATCATGCCTACACCTGGGCACGGGGCCGCCGGACTCGCCAATTGCCCTGCCCTGCCCAGTTGCCCTCTCCCCGGTTCTGGCGTTCCAAGGCTGTGGGATTCAACTCTCGGGAAATTGCCGTGGGTTAATTAGCCCCCAAATTGTATTTAGCCGAATAGCCTTATATGTGTGGCTTGGCACCCTCATCAGGGGCCCGGGATAGTAATACATTGGCTTTTCAGTTTGCAAATTGCACGGACTATATCTTCCATGGAAGACCGTGGAGCTTGTAACAGATGATATTATTTCGGCTGTTGATTATAGATGAGTTGAGATAGGGTAAGATGATACATTTGATTGGAAATGAAACGAGAAAAGTCGAACCTCAAATGTCGTGCTCCATAGGGGGGGCGGGAAACTGGGTCACGCACAAAAATCGCATATGGATATTATGCGCTTAATTTAGCGATCAATTAGTCTCCAGGGCTAATTCCAATTATTAATAATATGAATCCTTTTGGGCTCAGTCCCCGAGACCGGAACATCTCAGCGGAAAATGCAATCCGTACCTAGCCGATATAAGTTTTTGTCCGATTCGTGCGTATGTGAATAAAATTCAGGGACATCACCCCGGATGAGCCGGAAAGTCTATCGATTTCTCGCCTGACCAAGGATTCGATGTGACAGATGCGAATAGTCAAAGCGTGTTAGCACACTGCTGGACAGAAATGCCGAGAATATCCCTAGGCTAGCGTCCCTGTAGATGCGAGAATATTCTTTCAGTTTGGCCGCTAGAAAGACCGCTGACCTTTGCACAATTCACCCATTTATTATTGGCCAGGCTTTCTACCTTATCACCGCCCGCAAATAATGTTGAAATCTTTGACTGCGCGGGTGAGCCGAATACGTTCACAGTGTGGAGCTATGTCCCATCTTGCCCGAGTCTTCTCAACAATATCTCCCGGACATGTCTTGGAGGACACGGGAAGGTATCCACTAGGGCAGAATGCGATGTACAACATATATCGTAAGCATCTACGTAGGTGGCTCGCCTGAGTTTGAGACTTCCCTTCTCTTTTTCGTGCTTCGATGACACAATCCCCACGATGTACGATGTAAGAAGCATATCCGGACAAATCCGGAGAGTGACCGAGATGGCGGGGTGCATTGGATTCCCCTCACCCCCAGGTTAGATTCGAAGTTTGATTTACTATATCTTGGCACTTGGCAGGGGTGGACAAGCATTTGGGGCTAGCTCAAGCCTTTTCGGTGGCCTATCAATGCCGAGCCCGGCCCGAGTTAGGCAATGAGCGACACCGGAACCAAACCGAAAACTGTGAAATTCCCAATTTATGCCGGCATTTCTCGGAAAATAAAAGTTACCCCAAACATATCCCCATCCCGCGGGTTGTAATTGAGCCTTTGAGTGTGCTGGGGATCATGGGATCGGAACCCCGTCTCCGATATTCGGCATTCCCTCCAATTAGCCCTGGACATGCCATATCATCCCGCCACTTAACTCTCATTTTCGGCCCTAAGCGAATGGATCTAAGCGGTTTTTGATTCGGGAGTGGTGAAGTCGCGGGACCCTTGTACACCGGGACCAAACCTACCCCGTGGAGTCGGCGACGTGACCGAGTTAGAGTCGGACATTTTTCGAAATTTGATTAAAAGGTGCCACTACGGTGGATATATGCTATGCACGATGATATATTCTACCCTCTGTGGGATTGTCCATCCCACAGGCACCGAATTTTAATTTTCTGATGCGGGGTCTCCACAAGAAGCAGGGTATAAACCCATGTAGAGACCGGCCTCCCTTTTCTCTTTGTTTCTCTCATCCCTCAGAGTGGCCTTCCTTAGACACACTCCAACATGTTCACACTATTCCGAGGGAAGGCGCTGAGCGTAGCGCAGGCATTGCTCATTGTAGCACCGGCCTTCATCGTCTTCGGTTACAACCAGTCTGGCCTGGGCCCTTTGGCTTCATTGCAGAGTTGGGTCAGTCTGTTCCCTGAGATCGACACAATCAACACTGAGGGTGATCTGCGCGCGCAACACTCTACAAACAAGGGTACAGTGATCGGATCATTCCAGCTCGGTGCTCTATTTGGAGCCTTGTCGTGTACATTCCTGGGTGACCGCCTCGGTCGTCGCAAGACTATCTTCTTGGGTGCTATCCTTACTATCATCGGCCAACTGCTGCAGACTGCGGCTTATGGCTTGCCACAATTCGTCGTCGGCCGTGTCATCCTCGGTGTCGGTGTCGGTCAATTGAGTGTTGCCGTTCCCGTCTGGCAGTCTGAGTGCACGTCAGCCAAACATCGTGGACAACACGTTGTCGTCGACGGTATCTGTATTTGTTTGGGTTATGTTCTCTGCAACTGGATTGATTTCGGCTTGAGCAAAGTCGATGGCGCATTGCAGTGGCGTGTACCATTGGCCATTTCCTTTTTCTTCTCCCTCATTGTCGTCCTCTCGGTCTTCTTGCTCCCAGAGTCCCCTCGATGGCTCGTGCGAATGGGCCGTATCGAAGAGGCTACTAGCAGCCTAGCAGCCTATAAGGGTCTGTCTGATGATGACGAGGCCGTCCGTGTCGAAATCGCTGGTATCGAGACCTCCCTCGAGAGTACAGTCAACAGCGCCTCCCTCATGGAAATTTTCACCTCCAGCAAGGCCGACGACGAGCGCCTTATCTACCGGTTCTGTCTGTGCGTCGCATTGCAATTCTTCCAGCAGATGTGTGGTGGCAACCTGATCTCGACCTACGTGTCGACAATCTTCGAAGAGAACCTCAACATGAACAGCGACCTGGCTCGCATTCTGTCTTCATGTGCCATGACCTGGAAGTTCCTTTGCAGCTTCATCTCCTTCTTCGCTATCGACCGACTCGGCCGCCGAAAGATCTTCATGATCAGCGGTACTGGCATGTCTGTCTGCATGATCGTCCTCGCCATCACCAACAGCTTTAAGGACAACAAAAACGCGTCCATTGTTTCGGCGGTCTTCATCTTCCTTTTCAACTCCTTCTATCCAGTCGGTTTCCTCGGCGGTAACTTCCTCTACTGTACCGAAGTCGCTCCTATGCGTCTCCGTGTCGCCATGTCCGCCATCTCGACTGGAAACCACTGGCTGTGGAACTTCGTAGTTGTCATGATCACCCCCGTCGCGCTCGATACCATCGGATACAAGTACTACATCGTGTACGCTGTCATTTCTGCCTGCATTCCAATCTCGGTTTACTTCTTCTACCCTGAGACGATGAACCGCAACCTGGAGGCTCTGAACCATGTCTTCCGGGATGCCCCATCTACATGGGATATTGTCTCCATGGCTCGTCACCTGCCTCAGGGTGAGGCTGCTGAGGTGGACCTGTGGATGCGGACGGAGGAGAAGGGTGCGATTGAGCAGAAGGAGAACGCTTAAATTATCAATTAAATTTCTTGAGACGATGCCATACGTATATGCCTGACGATGATTGAATGGGTTGTACTAAAGAATAGATGAGGCCACTAGATTGAGCCCATCAAGAATTTTAAATTACTATTATTCCATTAAATTTCCCCTAAGATGTCCTGTGAACACTGGTAAGTGCAACTCGGTGTCTCAAGTAAACAACCACTGAACAACACATAGTCAGTCTCACATCGTCCCGATCTAGGAAACCAAGCATACATGTAGTTTCCTCTTCCACTAGTAGTATACTAAAGGTTATACATCTAATCCATCATAATGAAATTGTTTAGTTCATGTAAAAGGTGGTATTGACAACTCTTTCACCAACGTCAAGTCAAGTCCTTTGTTTACTCCTGCCACTCTCTCGGTTTCCAAACTTACTATCTTTAATATAATATACCCTGTCATTGTCATTGGGGCATTCTTGTTCTCATTGTTTTCCAAGGTTACCCGCTTCACTTCGAGTTTCTTTTCTTTCAAGGCTATGTTAGGATCCCTCGCCCACGATCTCGGGGTATTGTTAATTATTAGTTCTTTGTCTTTCATTCTTTGGCCCCAATTCTAGGAATTTCCGTGTTTGATCACGACGGGCTAATAATAACTTCAACAAAGACCTTTCAAATATCCAAAGTTATCTATATAATTCCCCTTTGCATATCTCTTGGTCTTCACTCCAACCTCGATATCCAACAATAACATCTGAACTACAATATATCTTACTTCAATCATTTATACACAGACACCTACCACGATGTTCAGGAGGATTCGTCACTCGCTGAGATGTTTTCCAAGACGCCGGTGCGATTGTGACGACGACGGCCAATCTTCGGGAGCCCGGCTTAACCGTCCAGTGGAAAAAGCACCAAGGCGCGCCCTTCGTCGACCACTTCCTAAGAATGTGGTCAAAGGCGCAGCTCCAGATGAGCGGCCCCAGGGTAGTGGACGTGAAGACGACAGCGAATATGAGGATAGCAGCGATGATTATTATTTCGAAGCCCCCCCAACCAGCGAGTCTCACACAGGAATAACACCCGCGATGAGCGAGACGAATCTCGACGATGACCCATATTCCCTCTCAACCAGAAATCCCCACACAGACAGGCCACCGGAGGTAAGTGACACCGATTCCAATAACGCGACTTCATCTGGTGATCACTTTTATTCCGCCCCAACAAGAAATTCGCACACGGGCATTACTCCCGAGATGAGTGATGCAAGCCTCAGTGAGTCCCGTTACGAATCATTCCCAGATTCAGGAGAAAGCTCTCTTTTCGTGAGTGCGTCTGGTACAGGTGAATACCATACCGATGAAGAGGTCTATAATGGAGCTGACGAGGACAGTCTTGACCTGAACCATGGGGATGTGGGAGTGTACGATGCATCGGTAGAGCCCGAAGAACCCCGATTTCCCAACAAATCATGGTCGAGCAATTCTAGTGACAGGAGACGTCGGCGTTCTCTGAGTAGTCAAGCTCGAGCCGATGCTGAACACAGGGGTCTTCATGGATCCAGGGGCAACAGTGGCAGTATCAAACGCCAGCGTCTTGATGCCTCATCTGACACCGCAGGTGGGAGACTGAGAACCGGGTCTGAACCGACCGTGAGGGACGTCACCAGGTACAGAAATAAAGGAGCACAATACCAAGCATGGATTGATGACCCCGAAGAGCCGGGGTGTCTAATTCAACCGGCAACATTAACTATAGAAGAGATGACCGACGAAGCACAACCAATGCCTTGGACAATCGACAAATCGTACTACACCGTCGAACCCATGGCGCTAGAAGGTGGCGATGTCGAATCGATGAATATTGCTCGCGGTGGTCCGCGATACCGCTATACACATCTCCGAACGGACCCGGGGCCGAACACGCTCGAGGCTAACGAATACGAACATCGAGTTGCTCGGGGCGTTCTTGTTGCGGAGAGGATTTATAGGGTAGACGGTCCTCATTGGAATGAGGTCGCTCGGGCTCAGTACTTGCTCGATTTTAACTTGAAAACTCTGAGACATGTTGTCTTTACCGATATCGGGAATGACGAGACAGCTCCATATATACGCCATGAACTCTACCCCAGTTTTGGTGTTAGATGGTCACAGGCAAGAGATGTTAACTGTATGATATTTAGGCATGGTAGTGCTGAGTATCAAGAACTCCTCGGGACAAAGTTGGGTAAAGCTGTGGCTTGTCTTATCCTTTCTTCATTCCCTAGGGGCACAATGAGGATCACTCGTATTGTCACTTGGTGTACTTCGACTGCGCCGCAGATGCGATTTGAGATTGAACCTGTTATTGTTGCGCCTATTGCCCTGGCCACAGCTGCATGAGTTACATGATTTGAATAATTGGTTTATAATAATTTGCATCTATTAGTGTTTGTATTTAATTCTTGGGATTGCTCTTAGAGATAGAAACTATCATTTACTATTATAATGTCCCGGGTCACTGCTATAGTAGATATGCTGCGTAGAGATGGTGAAATGCGACTGGTGACATGTATTTTCTGTGTGTGCAAGATTTGCACCCCGTTCTAGCTAAGAGCCACCTCCGGAGTTCCTATGAAATTTACAGCCCAGAACACAATCTGAAATACCGTGAAGGATGGGAAAGAATTCCCGGGAACTGGTACAAGACTCCTGTGGACTCATCTCACTCAAGGTGGATATTATTGGGTTTATATTGAGATATCCAGAGCTTTGAAGGTAAGAGACACTGCCAGGTTCCCCATATTGATAGATTCCTGACAATGGTTTGAATACAGCATTGGGGGGAATGTGGGCGAAGTAGACAGCTTTGCCGGAGTTGATCTAGGGGATTTGACAGGTGGTGTCTTGAACCTGGCCGGCATGCTGAAGGATAACAATTTCCTGTGCTTCGCGACTGAGGTACTAAAGTTTGGCAGTCGAAACCCACTTGCGGGGATATACTCGACCGCAGCTAAGCCGTTGGAGTTCGTCACTAATACCCTCGCTCTGCCTTTGCTCAACCTTACTTGTCCGGCATTCCAAGATCTTCAGATGGGAGAGAAGCCGCGATGGGGAGCATTTCAAGACAACTTCCCGGTGCTCGGAAGAGCAATCGTTCGCTTTAGACATTGTGGGTTCACTTCCAAGGTTGGATTGGCGGTATTATTGATAAGACGGCTGAGCTAGGATCTTTTCTTGGTAGAATATTTTGTTAATAAAATTCGAATTATCTTCATGTGAAAGCCCGAAACGGGGATATCTAGGGACTGAAACGCAAATTGTCGGGATTAGAAATTCGGGAACATGCAGGGATATGCAGGCTGGCATTTTATGGTGGCCTGCGTATAGTTCTTTGCATTCTAGGATTGTCTGAATTAGTACATTCGTGGAATGTACGATGAGTCCAAAATTGACAGATTATCCACTATGCGGCTCAGTGGTTTAGTGGGATAATTCATCTTTCGGGAGAAATCTCTGGTTTCACAATTACCAAATATAGATGAGGTCCCGGGTTCGATTCCCGGCTGAGCCCTGTTTTTTTCCCTTTTCATTTTGATTCCGTAAACCCTTTAGAAGTGGCTGCATTATCCATCTATTTATCCAGCATATTCCTGAGGTCACAGTTAGATACTCATGCATCCATTCTAAAGAATAGATAGAATCTGCCAAGACCACGGCACTTGAATAACCCCGGTGCCAGGAATCTGCGTAGGGCAGGAGCAAACTTCAATCTCATAGATAATCCATGGATAACTCATTGCTTTTACCTCTGCGACTCTTTCCCCCTGTAATGCCATTGTGGCGAATTTGGCTTCTTCGATTCACTTCCTTTGAGACTCTGGAAAATTCTCTGACCAGACCCCTCGAAATCAAACAAAGAACCCTCGTCTGCCAAAGTCACTAGGTCCGATTAAACAGAAGTAGCGCATCTCGTGCGAGAAAGTTGGGAGATCCGGCCAACGACAGACCAACAAGAGACCGACAACAGACCAAGCTCATGCAACTAAGCGATAGCTCTAAACTATCGTACGCGTCTCTCAAGAGAGTGAATGCTCCGACTCAGCGGTGAGAATAACCTACAAATTAATGGTCGGCTATAATGGTTAACATGACAAGGATTGCTTAGTGTCGGGGCAGTGTACGGACTAGTTGCGGGGCTCGGTGCGCCCTGCTCTGTGATTCCGGCGCTGTCTCTGCGATTGCCCGTATTTGATTGTGCCATTCTACGTGAGTTCAATTAACTTGAGTTTGACCCGGGCTGCAGACTATCCCAGGCTACTTAAAACTGCGATTGCATTGCCGGAGTGTAACCCAAGACATTCCTAGATCCTAAATGGGAAAACAGTGATGCCCATTCTTCCACTGGCATTTTACCACTGGACCTACATATAAGGATGCATTTCCCGGCCTTCGATGTTTCGATCTGGACTGTACGCCTATTCACTGGACAACGTATTGATTCCTCTTCATAATGCGTTCGCTGTGGACGTTATTGGTACTGGCTCTCTCAGCCGAAGCTATCAGAACAACGGGATGTCCTCTTTTGGGACCGGCATTCCCTGCCCCTATCGCCCTGTCAGCGGATCCCATTTTTTCCAGAGAAGCTGAGGAATTGACCTCGAAGCTCAATGAAGCCATTGAGGATGGAAGTCTACCTGCCATATCATTCGCAGTGCAGGTCTTCAGCAGCGAAGAGGATCATTCGGCATTCGGTTTCTACCACACAGATGATCCAGTTAAACTTGGGTCTGTGGGAGTTCGAGAGGTAGACGAGGATACCATGTTCCGAATTGGCAGCATATCAAAGCTGTGGACTATGTTTCTCTTTATGACCTTGGAAGGAACACGGTACTTCCACGAGCCCGTTTCGAAATACGTGCCTGAGCTGCGAATGGAGTACAGCCCAGCACAAGAAAAGGACAAAATTAATTATTTGCAATGGAGTGATGTTACGATCGGTGAACTGGCTAGTCACCAAGCGGGCCTTGCAAGAGACTGTATGATGATCATACCCCCGACGACCCGAGTGGGCGATGTGAAAAAGAAACTGAACTTGATTCTAGATGCGTTTGGAGACCTTGGATTTAAGTCGGATCTTCTCCAAAGCATGGGCTTCCCTTCGCTTCCAAAGAATGAGCAGCTGACTTGTGGGAGTGAGTATCCGTGCGATAGAAAAGGTAAGTCAATTTCGTGTGCTCACATCATCGGTCGCATTTTTTGGCTGACAGGGGAGATGTTTTCAAGAATTTTTTCGTGGCATTCTAAAAACGCGTGAGTAGGGTAATTCCACTGAACCTAGGTATACCCCCTAACTTGGTCTGTTAGATCCCTTGACTCCGACCTCACAGACACCAATATACTCGAACGCGGGATATCAAATTTTGGGATATGTATTGGAGTCAATTGGAAAAGCCGACTACGAAGACATATTAATGGACCGTCTTATCAAGCCACTCAACTTGACTCAGTCCTGTCTTAAGATCCCAGACCCCAGCTTGGCGGTGATCCCCTACAATGAGAGTTTCAGTTGGTTTGGTTATGATATCGGCGGAGAGGCTCCGTGAGTGCTTATGAACTGTTTGACGTATACCTAACTTACACATTTCTAGTGCTGGAGGCATTTTCTCTTCCGCAAATGATATGGCCACATTCGGCCGTGCTGTTCTTTCCAGCACCCTTGTTGACCCTGCCGTGACAAGGCGGTGGCTGAAGCCGGTAGCACATACATCATCCCTGCAACATTCCGTGGGCGCCCCCTGGGAGATCTATACATTTTTGACACCTCGTCGGGTCGACCTGTACACCAAGGCCGGAGACATCGGGCTGTACTCCAGTTCTATCGATCTTTCGCCAGATCACAATGCCGGTTTTACAGTTTTAGTTGCAGGGGGCAACTCTCACGCGATGACATCAACAATCGGGGAGATTGTTGCCGATATTGTGCTTCCCGCGCTTGATGAAGTCGCCAGAAGCCAAGCCCTTGAACGCTTTGGGGGTACATATGCTCTGACGAGCGGCTCCTCTAATTCCTCAATCACAATCACAGCCGACGATGAGGCTGGCTTGGTAGTCTCGGTATGGACCAGCAACTCGGTCGACATGATCGAGTCTTTGATGGCTTTGCAAGGAGTGACCGATCGCTCTGCGATAAGCATTCGTCTACAGCCTAGTGGTCTTGCGACCCCAGGTCGGATCTCCTTCTTGGCTGTTATCTATACTATTGATGCACCGGAAGACGCTGGGCCCATTGTTGGATCCTGCTTTTCGTGGATTTTGCTCGACTCCTTGGTGTATGGCAATGTCGGTCTCCCAGAGTTTGAGTTCGCACTGAATCATGATGGCCATGCGACGAGCTTATCCCCTCGGGCCTTGCGCGTTACGCTTCCTAGAGTTTAAGGGACGGAGGAGATCCCATTTGCGATTGATTCATCATGACGTTTCGAACTTGGCATGGCGGTTGTTTTATTACTTACTGTATATAGTTACTCTACGTGCCAGCGCTAAGATGTCAATTGATCATGTCTCGACTTTGAGAACCATGAGCCTAAGCTAGAAATGATAGTTCCACACGGATTCCTTGGAAAGATCCCAATGTTCGGACACCGTGCTCCAATATCGACGCGGCGCGTTCTGGCCTTCTTCGTCGAGTGGAGGTCGCACATACTTTTTTCTTTTTTCTTTTTTCTTTTCTTTTTCGCGTTTTACGGCGAAATAGACCATTTTGAATAGTTTTAGCGATAAGTTGTGCCCGAAAGTCTCCATTACGTTTGATGGCCAGGGGATATAGGACGTCTGCTGGAGGCGCTTTCAGACTGTAGCAAGAATTAGGCGAACGAGTCGTGTAACTCGACGAGAATAGCAAGGAACGCCCGCGACTGCGTTGAAACATAGGATGAGGGGCGGAGGAGATCGGGGGTACAGTGAGCCGGGGAAGCGAAAGGGAGACCTTAGCTATCCGCTTACCTGTTGTGGTCTGACATGCGGTGGATCTCTTGGCAATGTCACATGACATGTGGAAACAAAGTTGGGGAACCTTCGAAGGCTTTTGGGTGGGACTAACCAGCGCCTGAAACTTTGTTTTACAAAAAATATGAATAGCTTCAAAAGGATCCCGAGGTGGGAAAAAAAAAGAAATGTGGCCCCAAAGGTCCTTCACACAGCTAGCCTAGGGACAGTTTCCTCATTGGCTAGGACGCGCCTCGCTCAGTGACTCTGAGGCGAGGGAGCCCCTTTTCAAGGTGGGGTTGGTACTCCCTGTCGTCAGCCCGTAACTCAGAGTTCTTCAACTCGACCTAGTTGTGATTCGATCGCAACCTAACATCACCCTGTCCGGGGCGTTCCCATCTGAGCTATGGGGGTTGGGGGTTGCGAATGCCTGAACTGACCTTTCCATTTATGCTCACTTTCTTAATCGTTCCTTCCTTAGGCAGAACGCCAGGGATGCTCTTGCCTTGCGGCAGTCCCTTCCTTCTTATTCCAGGACGGGTGGTAATGATTGTGGAGTTCTCTCCATCCCCCGTGTGGTACCTGAAGATCATCTTGAACACTGCATTGATCTACACCCGGGTTATGCATTTGGCCTAAGTGAGAATTCTCACCTCTATGATGTCTCTTCTGAACACCATCCCCACCGAGTCCTACGTGGGAACCATTGATGGCATCAGTATTGTCTGGGCCCAAACACAATTGCCGAGCTATCTTGAAACACCAGTTACTACAATGCGGGATGGAAGGTCCAAATACAACTACCTTATGAGTAGATGTAGCATCTTACAGCAGGCACAATGCCCTCCCTTGGTAAGCTCGAAAGCAAAACGGTCTCTTAGCCTATATAATCTTCATCGCAAGTTCTAACATTCAATTAGCCTCGAAGGCAGAAGGGATCACGCTCATGGTTGGTTATGCGGTTTCGAATAGAACTGTCCATGCAAGTAATATAAATGAATCTGAAGCTACTAGCCCTTAAATTTTCAATTTACGAACGCGACACGTAGATAATCGCGTCTGTTAATTCCTGCCTAGATACACTTTATTCACAGAGCCCAAAGATGTTGAATTCAGAGGGATTGAATGATAGCTATTCCTTCGCCGCAATCCTAGTTCACAAGCTCCCACTCTTCACCGGCATACTCGACTTTGTAAGCCAGAGTTGGGTCTTTGCTGTAGGTGGCTCCGGAATTCCAATCAGCCCCAAAGTCTCCATTGTAAAAGCTTCCGAAAGTGAACCGGAAGGAAGTTACAGTAGTCGACACAGATTGATTCCAGACACCGACATTGTGGGATCCACGTGAGTCCAGTGCAACCAGTTGGACATCGTCTTTCCTTTCAAGTACGCGACGATCTTTTTCCGGTGCAGGTGAAGTCTTTCCTGAGTCGTCGCGATTGATTCGGAACTTGGTTGCCTTCCTGGTATGAAGAGAGATTTTTCCCTCGTCTCCCTCGTGAAGGAACCAGTACAAGTGGGGTGTTGACTTGGTGCGAATGTAATAAGCACCACCTGACACATATTCCACGTTGGATGTTGCGTCGTTTGGAATAACTGGCATGGCGCCAGTAGCATGGTTGTTGTCGTATCCGCTAATTCGGGCAGCCATGGTAGTTGCCATCAGGTCCTTGGCATTCGAATCAATGAAGTAGAAAGGGCGAGTTTCCGGTGTAGCGGCGGGGAACGTCCAGAACTGAGGGCTGTATCTCACGACATCGCTGAGCGGATTGACAGTGCCAGCAGCTGTTGTCGTGACGCATCGGTTGTAGAATTCGTCCGCATAGTGTCTGTTAGGGAAGACGAGAATTTCGCGACCATCGTATTCGTTTCCAGTCCAATTGAGGTAAACCTGATAAACCATCTGGCAATGAAAGATAGTAAGTATATGTGTCATTTCCTGGAATAGTATGCTGTTCACCTTGCAGTTCTGGGTATGTCAACAGAGTTGGACGCTATTGTTGCTTTATGATTCTTTGAGAGAAGAAATGATAATCGACTGAAGTAATGCATTGGATTGTGCGGGAAATAGCAGCTCTCTTATAGATGTGTCTTTTGGAGGAATCCGATATTCGAGGACGTTCGGGGCACCTCTGGACGAAGCGCTCAATATGCTTCATGCAAGACACATCACCATACTACCCGTAATTCATGCATCTGAGGATGCATTCGGAGTACTCCGTGTGATAATGGCGATGTATGATGCTTGATGGCGAGCTGAACGAAGTGGCAAACTAAGCAGAATAACCCTTGTATATCCAGCTAGCTGTTTCAAGTTAATTAACTATGCCCCTCTGTATTCCCCGATCTTGCCTGCTAGACGTTGTCCTTGATGTGACCCCGCAATGCATCTGTTTAATTTATAGCAGTGCAGATACTGTGAGCCTTTGGGCTTAATATGCACTCAATGGGTATTTAGTAAATCTCGGCAAAACCAAATTAGGTGTGAACAGACCCTTATCACCTCCACCACAAACTAATATAATCTGTCTAACTAAATAAATTTATATGACACATAAACTGCACGATCTACTCTAGACCCACGATGTGGGGGAGCTGAAAAGAGATTGACACATGTGAGTTTGCCTATGGAGTAGAAGTAATGGGGTCTTGTAGGGATCTTGAACCAGTTAATCGATGTTTAAAGATCAGCTTATGTGGCCTATGTGGGTCATGCATGCTATTTAGATGCGACTACGGAGTACTCCGTGATGAGAATGAGGTCAGTACATTCCACAAGATTGTGCAATATCGGGTTTGCTATAGAGCTTTCGGGACGACCGCTCGCCTGTGGTGGCGACTCCCTTTGTACTACGTTATAATTCAAAAATTTCGTTGCGATCCCCAGTCCAGGATGGAGTCTCCCTATCGAGTTTCACTGCAACAAGTAAAAAAGACAGCGAAATTCCCAGAGAAAAAGTCACCACGTTGTGATATTGGGAGCACTATTGTTTGAACAGCGGTAGGATATAACAGCTACTAGGGTATCTGAGCGGGTATGCAGAGCTAGGGTTGGAGTAAGCGCTAACTTGAGATGCGTTATCCCAACTAGGAATAATCCGTACGTGCATATGTCCCCACACCAGCCACCGAATATTATGTCCACGAGACCTCGACGAGCGGATCATGGTTCGCATCGGTTAAGTACCTAACTAGTTCCTCTAGTTCCACTAGTTCCTCTATATTAAATCGCCGAAGAGTGGATCCTGCATAATCCTGCACATAGGATAGGCCGATAGACTTTTCACACTTCAGCAGAAATAACTCGTACTAAACCAATAGTAAACGGCTTAGCACAATGATTGGGCAGATCACCTGCTGCGCCACTATTCTGCAAAGAGGGAATTGTAGTGGCTAGTTAGGAACAAACTAACCTTCAGCTGAAGTTGCTAATCCACTACAAATCTAGGCGATATGCAAGTCCAACGATGTGGCTTGAGCTATATACGAGATCGCAGATCGTGACGTATTAGGGTTCGGGCCTTGGAAAATATAGTACGACCGAAAATGTCAATTGTATATAAGTTTATAGTATATAAAGTCTTCGATCGCACATCTACTTTGTATCTATCTGGATTTTTAGATCACTTCATCATTGAGATTTATTGCGTTCATCTTGTTCCATCATGCCAATCCCAACAGAATCCAGCCTCCGGCTCTTGTCTACTCCTCTGTTTCAATCGAAGGGATATGAGGCTCCAAGTTATGAATCCCTGGAACGTTCTTACTATCGAGCTAGAGCTATAGGCAGGCATCATGGTTAGCTAAGGAATATCAAACTACCAAATCGGGATTAACAAGATTATAGCGCTCACGATTGACGACATCCTCTCTCTCACCCCCAAGTTCTGGCAATCCCACATGGATGCTATAATCATCCGGGATATCGTGGCTCACATTCTTTTTTCAATTCAATATAATTTAGTTGCTGGCACGATTGCCCCTTATGCCCTGAAGAGGCGGGACTTACGACCTGTGATGGAGAAAATTCTGAACTTTGATGTTTCGTATGATGAATCCAGCAATACCATTTAGTGAACCCGCTCACTAACCATTTTACAGTGCTTGCTTTAATGCTTAACGAGGTTGACCATGGGTGTGATGCAAAGGATCTCGAGACCACTGCGACGTTGCAGTCTGATGGCAGTTTTGTTCTCCACAGTCCCACGCCTGGAGCAGGAAAGTATGCAGAAATCCGATAAGAGCAGAAGGAATACTATACTAACATTTCTAGATTTATGCCCCCATCAATGCCCATCGCAGGCATCCCTCGCATTGCCGTTGTTTTCGCACGTCTCATGGTTGGAGATGACGATAGAGGGATTCGGCCCTTTATGGTTGGACTTGGGGATGGTAAGAAAATGTGTAAAGGGGTGACAACAACGTGCGTGACAAAGGGAAATTATTTCAACTCCAACTAAAGATGTTCAGATTACTCCCTCCCATCGCCTGTGGGCGAACGCTCGACCACTCTATCACTTCGTTCAACCAAGTCCACCTCCCATCAACGGCCATGCTAGGCAGTCCCAGAAAACCAGATGACATGCGATCACAGTTCCTGATGGCCATCAACCGTCTAGGGTTTGGAACACTGGCTTTGAGCCTGTCAACAATACCCGGCCTGAAAGGTGCAGTGCTCATTGCGGGCAAGTACAGCCTCCGTCGAATGGTTCATGGTCCTGAAGGATCTCCGAAGCCGATCATCTCCTTCCGTACTCAGCAGTTGCCCATCATGCATGCCCTAGCTGAGAGTGCAGTTATGGAACCGTTTGCGAACTGGATCACAGCTAAATTTAGTGATACCTCACTTGACTTTTCTGTCAGACATGGGTTAGCAGTTATCTTCAAGGGAGCCGTGCTGCAATACACCCAGAAGAGTTTTGCAAATCTCGTTGAGCGATGTGGTGCTCAGGGTGTGTTTATTCATAACCAGCTGGTGGAGATGGAGGTGAGCTGATTCGAAAACAACCGAAAGACCCACGATAAAGTACTGACAGCCATATGTAGGCTCTAAATCGATGCAACGGTATCGCAGAAGGAGAAATTCTGGTTCTTTGCATTCGTAACGTCTCCACAATCCTAGAATACACATATTATACAACTGACACATTATACATAGGTCTGGCCACTGAAATCCTCCTCGGTCGATACCAGATCCCCACCGCAACCAAGCCAAATTCATTGATAGCCAAGCATGAGGAAGGCTACATTGCAGAACTGCAGAAGCTCCTGGGGAGTATCCAAGAAGGACACAGAAGCGAGGCGTACAACAGTCGCATGCTTCCTCATTGTCGGTCCATAATCCTGGCGATAGGGCATCGCATGGCATACGAGGCTGCGGTTGATACCGGAGTTGATCCCGATCTGCTTGCTCTCTACGAAGCCGGTGTGGTCAAGACTGACTCTAGTTGGTACGTTGAGAATCTGGGACTTTCTCGGGCAGATCAATTTGAAATGGAATGCAAGGCAGCTGATGCTCTCGTGCCGCGGGTGGGTGAGCTTTTGGATAGCCTGGATACGATGGAGCCTTATATTACGGCTCCGATACTTTCCACGAAGAGATGGGAGACGTTCGTTGCTGGCTGCGAGACTGTCGAGGGAGATGCGTCGTTTGAGATCGTTGATAGGGAAGATATGTGGGCCAAACTTTGAGATGGGGGAAGACAATTTCGTACTCGATACCGCTGCATTTTGTATGAACACATTCCACAGCAATGAACAATTCAGATTCGTCCAAAGGCGATATTGTCACCAAAAACAGAGGGAATACAATACAGGGGAGGCTAATTGGTAGATATAATTTGACATCGAGGGCCTCAGCAGCGTAGCTCTTTAGTCACGGTAGCTACATTTGTACTGTATAGCGCAGGAGTGACTTAATGTACTCATGGGCCAGGACACGTGTGCTCCGTGCCATGTCTTCGATGAGGTGCGGTCAATTCAAATTAAAGGAAGAGAGAAGTTATATTGGTGATTGTGATTTGAAAAGTCTCAAGTTGTTCATGGCACACAGCGATTCTCTCATAGAAGATATTGTGTTGCCCTGGAAGGGGCTGTTGTCGACCAGGAGCACGGCGGGGCGACCGCTCGCGTTTGTTTGTTTGTTTGTTTGGGGGGGGGGGGGGGGGGGGGGGGGGGGGGGTC